TCCTACTACTCTTATAGAGCCCCATCGAGCTTTCTGTCATCACAAAGTTCCTCATGCCCAGTCTTGACACAGCACTTCTGCCCTCCTGCTTTCCCCACCCCACCCATCACCTCCAGCAGGAATAAACATCATCGAAAAGACTTAGTCGTCTTGGATATTTTAAATTTCCTTGTTTCAATGAATGTCCTATGAAAAATTTAACTATGCTTTAATTTGGATTAGACTAGGAAAAGGCAGTTTTTAGTTTCCTAAGAACATACTCTTAATATTACTTCCAGATACAGTCAGAGCTTTGGGATGGTTGTGCAGCTCATGTGTTTGAGCCACCTGGATCCAATCCATGGCCAAATTTTTGTAGTAAGATGTGCATTACAACTTGGGCCATAACCAGATCAAGTTCATTGTTCTGTTTCTACAAATGCCTCTAAAACAGCTGGTGGTCTCCTCACAACTCCTTGGTGGAGATTAAATTCATATTTAGTGACAGAAGGTAAAATCTTTTCTTTTCTGAATAGTATTTAGTTGATGTTTGATTTATCAAAAATGACCTATTCTAATGCTAACTGCTTGAAATTTTGTCCTTGAAGCATACTAACAGAGGCAATGCTGCCACCCTATTATAGGTGAATTCTTTCCTGCTAGGCTGGCTAAGAGGTGTGGACAATTTTGAAGATGGGAGCAAGTTTCATTAAATAAACAAATAAACCAACAAGCTTGCTTAGCTTCACATCAAAATTAGAACAAGTAATCTTAACTTCTCTTTTGCTGTCATATTTGGTGTCCTTCAATAGATAGTGATTTTTCTCTAGGGTTAGGTAACACATTGAAACATTTTCACACTTCAGAGTATTTAAAATGTGCTTGCAAACTGTGCTTATCGTCAGTTTCTTATGGGGATAACAATGACCATGACCAAGTATGATACACAATAGACATTTCACCTCCAAAAGGGACATTTCTGAAGAGGTGGGTATCATTAAAATACATATTGGCGTAGCACCACAAGCCTAGATAAGCTGCTGATGGCCAGGAAAGTCAGTATAAAGTTGAAACTGAAAATCTGTTCTGCTAAATCATCTTTACCAGGGTACTTTTTTTATCAGGAGTTCAGTGAAAAGGGGAGACTATAAAATATGCGCCTAACAATGCATGTCAGCAGCTTGAATGGAGCAAATGAGTCCAGATATGAGAATCCTAATAAATAAATGAAGTCGAGCATTTATTGCCAACAATGTCACTGGGGCCACAAAAAATTGGAGCTGTGCAGCTGGGAGCGGGCATATGGAGCCAGAGAAGGCACTGGAGTGCGCCCAGGTTTGATTATTTATGGTGTGCTGATGAAGAGACAACTTTCCATATGAGGAACAGCTTACCAGAGAGCAGTCAAGCTAAACCAGGAAGAGGGCCAGAGAAAAAGAAACAAAAGGGGACATGAATAAAAACGACAGCTAATAAAACAATACAAATCTAAAACGCTGTAACTTTCAGAAATAATGTAGGGCCAGAAGAAAAGAAAAAGGAAATCTCATTTTGCTGGCTTTGTGACAATTTTCCAAGAAGCACAAGACATTAAACAAAATGAATGTACTGAATTTAAGACCAATTTGCCTCTATGCCTTTCTAACTGTAAGTCTGATTGCTCTTAAAGCTAGATTTAGTCATAAAAAGGGAAGTGGCAATTTTGTTTGTATTTAGCTAATGTATCCATTTTTAAACAAATATTTATTGAAACAAATACTATTTCATATCATGTGCCGGACCCTGTGGGGCTAGTGCTGAACAAAGACATACTCCGTGTCCTCAAGAGGGATATGATCTACTGTGGGAAGCAGTAAAGATCACAGTCATGTTCAGGACATTGGGGTGGACACTGTAATGAGCTAGGTCAGGGCAACAGGACCGCAAAGAGCGGGGGCCGCAGGGAGGAACACCAGACCCAAGTGGAGCCTGGAATACAAATAATTTAGTGAACTTTGCTTTCTTTATTGATTAGACACTTATCAAACCTCCATACAATACAAATCTATTTGACTATTTAAAAATTAAAATACACTTTTTATACAAAGATGCAAGTTAGTGGTTCTAGTAGTTTCCATCCTTGAATTCTGGACTTGAGGGACACCTGAGCTGTTTTAAATGACCTCTTCTTTCAAGTCTGACCAAAAGCACAATAAATATTAGCCACTAGTTACTACGTGGCCCACCTGTGGCAGTCATTTCATGCCGGGAGCCGGTCCATCCTTGCTGTTTCAAAGGACCTGGCATATATGGCATACTGTTCTTAATATGTTTGCTCACCTTCTTGGCACTCTGTGTTTTAACCAAGGTCACCTCTCTGAGAAAGGTTGTTTCCCCAGGTAGGGATTTTCCCCTGAAGTTAGGGAGGGAATAAAACCCCTCAACTAAGTGCCAGGCGGGTAATTAATCACTTTAACTACGAACAATCATGCTTAAGCTACATAATCTTTACTCCCTGGAATGGAGATAAGAAACACCCTAACCTTTGTAATAGAGATTGATAGGATTGAATCAACTGGTATAAATACAGATGTAACAAGACAGCAAGACTCAGAACTTAGAATACAGAGCTTAGAACACAGAACTAAGAAGACAGAACCTACACACAGAACTTAGAAGACAGAACCTACACAGACAGAAGAACTTCGCTGGAGAGAACATGGCAAAAGATCCTGGACTGAACCTGACTACAGAAATTGGCAAGAGAACCTGACTAGAACCTGGTGACTGAACCTGGCTGAAGAACCCGGCTACAGAACCTGGTGACCGAACCTGACTGGAGAACCTAGCAAGAGAACATGGATACAGAACCTGGCTGGAGATCCTGAACAGAACTTCGCTGGAGATCCTGACCAGAAATTCGCCGGAGATCCTGAACAGAACTTGGCTGGAGATCCTGGCTAGAGATCCTGGCTAGGCTGCTGATCAACTGAACGCTGTCTCCGTGTCATTCCTTCTTCGCCGACTCCATCTACGCCTTTGGGAACCCCTGGACCTGCTGGGGTTGGACCCTGGCAATTTCATTTGTGTTGAATTACGCTTCGTAACAATGCCTTGAGGTAGGCTCATCACACTCACTTCACAGACAAGGAATGGAGCATTAGGAAGGTGACTCTCAAGGTCACACGGCACTTCTACACCTCACTACCTTTGGGTTCAGGATGCAGGTTAGGACTGCACCAACAACACGTCTATGCCCAAGGAAGGCATATCAATGAATACTCACTGGCTTCCCAAAGTTACTTTAGCTGAATTACTCCCTATTGTCTTCTTACCCCCTACCAGCACTCTCAGTTAAGCAGTGCTACTGATAACTCCTTATCTTAGTTGGCACTGGGGCAGTTCCCACTGTAACACAGGGGAGTGCTTCTAGAAGCTGAAAACTATAACAAACATTTTATTCTGAATGAATCCATACACACAGGCATTGAGGCCCCTCTGCATTGCAAGTTTCCTTCTCTCTTACAAAGAGCCAGCCCTCTCCCCGCCCCCATAGATCAGTGCCCAATTGAGAAGGGGATCCAGCCAGAGCACTTAACCATGAGCCAATCACATCTCCCAACTTCTGTTCTCTGTTGCATTTCTAACTCACTTCTTCTTTCCAAAGGTGGTCTATGGCCTCACTGTCTGGCCTTGCTGTAAGAATATGTAGATAAAAAATGGCCAGGCAGGCATCTCTATGACCTTGGCAACTTCAGATTTTCCTTTAGCCCCCACACCTTCACCTCCATATATTCTCCAGACCCACTCCTCAGCCCTTGGCCAACTGGTATTTCGGAAATATTGCTTAGTATCTGAGGACTGAGTAGTCTATGAATTATTTTACAGTTTCAATTCAAACAGTATTCTAGGTAGATCTTACTTTTTAGTGTCTTTAAGACCAATCTTCCCCAAACAAACTAGGTAATGTACTAAATGGTAAAGCTGTTTCATGAATAACACAGTTCTAAAAAGTGGAGGTCTAATATTATCTCTCTGAAACTGTGTAGAGTGTAATCGGTCGATAAACCACAGTATTATTTTTTCAGAGCTCTCCATTCCTACCCTCTTATCCTCAAGTTTATAAAACTATTTGTAAAACATGAATGATTGAATTTCCCTTTTCATAGTCTTTGGGCCAAAGTGTGTCTATGGACACTTGCTTTTAAAATTAGGCATTAAGAAAATGACTTAAGACCCACTAGCTAATCAATTAGAACTTAGTTCTTCCTCTGTTTCAATGTCTTCCTTTAGTAGGGAAAAATGTGATGCTGATGCCTGGGCCAAGCTTCAGGCAGAGAGGGCTGGCCACAGGCACAGTGCTTTCATCTAAAGACTGGAATATTAGTAGGATGAGGGCTTAACTTCCCCATTTCAAGAAAATAATTTTGCAGCCAGGATGGCCAGAAACTTCAAATGGCAACTTTTCTGATTTGAGGTCATTTCCCAGGAATTTAAGAGGCAATCATTTATTCTTGACTTTTAAAGAGAACCCGGGCTTGAATGGCACAGTTGTGTCTAAAATTGATCATTTAGTGACAATCCTCTGAAGTTGCTTAGGAGCAAGGGAAAGCAGCTGATATACCTAGACATCTGGACTGAACTATCTAGTTTGCTTTCCAGGTTGTAAATTTTCTGGCCTAAAAATGACTTTTTATGAAAACAGTGATTTAGCCAAAGTACTAAAATTTTTTTGATTACTTTGATATAAAACACTACAGCTATAAAACTTACCAACATCTCATCTTCAAGGCAATGTGCCTTTAGGAAAATAGAATTTTAAAAAAGATAAGTCCTGAAAATATGAACTTTAAATTGTAAAATGAGAATCTTATTAAATGCATTGCTCTACAATATTTTCAAATAAACAAGAAAATTTGATAAATAGCAATATGGTTGAGATGGAAATAATTTTGTCATCTGGAAATTTTCACATTTGTGGGCCTACTTAAATAGAAAACATTTGAACAAAAAGACACATAACACACACTCAAACACACGTTTTTACTGAAAAGTATATTTGAAGAACAGCCTAAAATCCTTTTAATTTCAGTCTCCAAATTTTGATCTTTTTATTCATTCTGAAATAAAGTCTAAGACATTAACATTTAGTGCACAGAATTTAAAAATAAAACTGCATATGGTTAGAATATATGCATCAAGGGTATATATTTCATAAGAAAATAAAATTATGTACAAAATCACTCCCACTTATTAATGCTAATCCTAACTTGTTTGATTTTTATAATTAAGCACCACCATAAAGCAAGAACTTTGAGAGAAAGGTGATACAAAACTCTGTTTAACCTCTCTGGCCCCAGTCTTTCATGTTTCAGTTTTGCTGGGAAGTTCGGACACTCCCCGGTTAGAGAGTGCATGTAGAATCCTCCAAAGCATTGGAGGGTCCTCACAATTGTGCCCTTGTTCCCAGTGCAGGAGGAGTTCTTCTTTCCTTCTAAGCGTCTGTGCACAAAGGATGCAGTTAAAGCCGGAAGGGGACTGAAGGAGAACTGAGTGTGGGCTGGGACTCGCAGGGCCCTGCGGGACTTCTGGCTTGCCGGGTCTCAGCTGGGCTCCTTCATGTTTTGTGAGCATTTCCTTTTCATTCTGCTGATGCAGGTAGGGTTGCGGTGTCATTGTAGGAACTGCATGCACCTCTTCGTCAGAGGGACGGTGCTGCGGCAGCTTTCTTCTTTCAGGATGCTGTTTCCAGGAAGGAGCAGCATGTTGAGCCAGCTCTTTGCCAGCTGCTTGGCTTCCTGGGGAGATCTCCTCTTGCAGCCTGCCCTGAATTTCTTCTCCATGAACATAAAGTAAATGAAACTTTATTTCAGCAAAGGACTGGGCAGTGATCTGACAGCGGCCACATTTGATTTGTAATTTGACTTCGTCTGCCTGGTTTAGGAGAAGGTCTTCATCGAGGCTTGATTTGTTTTCTCTGAAAAAGAGGGAAATAGTTAATATAAAATTGCATAGAAAAACAGAATTGGAACTTTTCCTCTTTTAAGTTCTTAGTCATCAAAGTTCTAAAACACTCCCACTGATGAGAAGCTCAAAGGGTGGGAAGACAGAGAGAGCATGGGAAGGCCTTCAGCAGAGACTGCAGAACCCCAACTGCTGTTCCTGCTTGGGGCCACACACTCCTTCCCAAGGGGAGCTAAATAGTCCTTGGTGACCACAGGAACGGGTGTCACCAATGTGAGAGTCAGGCGGTAGCAAGTGAGGCTCTCCAGGAGCATGCTGCGTCTGGTTGACAGTAACTGTCCCACTCCACCCACCGCTGCCATCTTTCACCTTGAACACCCAATACGGTTTGGACATTTTACCTAAAAATCAAAATGGACTACAGGAAAACAATACAAGGGGCAGAAAATCTAGTGTGGGAAAATGTTTACTTTCCAAGGGGCCAATGAGGATTCAGTTCTCTGTCATAGTGGACAGTGGACAAAATAAGAGCATTTCTCTGGTTTACTTATTGCTCTTAGAAAGCCCTGACTGCCAGGCTTATGAATGACTTAGCTTGTTTGTTTATGATGCTAAGGAGCAGTACCTGAAGATGGGAATGACACAGGAGAAAGTTAATCTGGCCTGAAGGGAAAAATAGGACAAAAGTAGAGGGTTAAAGGTCTGGACACTTTAGGGTCTGGTCACACTGAGGTGCCACCATGGGTTATGTGATATTAAGAGGCAACTGATGCTGTTCAGATATAAATTCTGTGAACACCATTTTGGAGAAATTATTTGTAAACAATACCAGGAACTATACACAATATTTAATATTTCATATGTCAGATACAAAAATAATCTGTTATATCCTGGCCGGTGTGGCTCAGTTGGTGGGAGCATCACCCCATACAATAAAAGGTGGCCAGTTCAATTCCCAGTTGGGACATATACCCAGGTTGTGGGTTCGATCCCCAGTCAGGGTGATCCCCACTATGGGAGGCAACCAATTAATGTTTCTCACATCAATGTTTCTCTGTCTCTTGTTCTCTGAAATAAATTTTTTTTAAAAAGGAAATGTTAAAAAATGTCTGTCACCTGATTGTCTTCATCATATCTCAAACAGGCATTTATGGCCTGGGTTACCATCATTATAAATCATGAGTGATCAGAAACCAACAAGAAATGAGATTATTCTTCATAGAACTAGCCTCATAAAATCTTAATCTGAGAGATGTTTTTATGAAGTTATCTTTCTGAATATGAAATCTTAGCCTGCTCCCCAAATCCAAACAGACTTTCTTGCCAGATTTTCATTCCATTAGCACTCACCTCTGCACATTCACATCCCTGTCCCTGTTCTTTGGCAGGTCCCCTGGCTGCAGTTCGCTGGGGGAGGTCTCGGTGCTGATGACAACCCTATGCACTTCTTTCAGATGGCCGAGATAGATTCTGACATGACTAAACACTTTTGCACAAAATTCACAGCACACAAGTTTCTTCAGCCGGTTCTCGCCGGGATGAAGTTTCATGTGTGCGCTCAGGCTGCCGGGACGCACGTATGCCTTGCGACAAATTCGACAACTGTAAGGCCGTCTGTTAGTGTGGGTATTCATGTGGTCTCGAAGGTGCTGCTTGAACTGGAAGTGGTGGTTACAGACAGGACATCTGTGCCAAGGCTTCTTAATACCAGAGAATCCATTTCTGAATGCAGAGCTGGGCTTAGGGGAAGGGCTGTCGTCCTGCTTACAGCTGAGATATTTAGGAGTGAGCGAATTATTTAACAAATTGTCCTGTCCTAGGCTGCTGGGCCTTTGGGAAGGTAATATAGCCACAGGAGAACCCAAGGGAGCCACAGTGGGCATGACAATGACAGGTTTAGGCATAATGCTACGATATTTTTTCAAAGCCCCAGGTTTTTGGTCTCTGGGTTGTTGGGAATCATTTTTTATTATTTTACATTTCCTCCTTTTCCCCTGAAATGACAAGATTTCATCGGGTACCTTTAGTTTTCTTCCTTTTCTCTTTGTTGCCCCGCCATTCGGTTTTGTTTTGTGGTTGAGCTCCAGTTTGGTAGCGGGACAAAAGGCACTTTTACAGAGACTCTGCTTTGACACCTGTGGACCAGGTCCCTTACTGGCCATCTTGGTGGCTGCATCAAAGCCTTCGGTGATGGTGGATGTCTTATCCCAGTGCACCGTGAGCCCAGGTAAAGAAAAGTCTACAATGTTAAGATCTGACTCACTTTTATAAACCTCTGTTGTTTTCATACTTACGGGGGGTAAGATTGGCAGTTTACCTTTGGGGACTGAGGGCACCCACTGGAGTGAACCACCCCAAATGGCTGTCGATAACCTGACTGTGCCTTCTGCAAGGTCAGCTTGTTCTTTATGTTTTTCACTGGCAACAGCAGCAGGTTTACTGGATGGTTCTTTGCTTGCAAAGATTTCTTTCCCTGAAATCTTCATGAAGCCCTGCCTGGCAGAGGGCTCCTCTGGTGCGGATGATGTTGGGGTGTCAGGAAGGTTCGGGTCTCCACAGTCACTGGTCACTGGAGGTCGAGAGTCTCTGGGGTCACCTCCGCTGGTCAGAGCAGCCGGGCTGACGCTGGCTGGAGCCTGGTCTGGTGGCAGCACTGGCTCGGACGGACTGGGCTGGGGCAGGGGCTCAGAACAGTCAGGTGGGGAAGGAGATGTTTGGGTTTGGGCAGGAGGTTTGCTACAGCCACGTTCAGAGAAGCTCGAAATGGGGCTCTTTGTTGATCTTTTGTTATTTCTTGGGGGTTGGTATCGAGGAATAGGCAGTTTAAGGTTTTCAGGCAGGGGCAGTCTGGGTTTCTGGACTGGCTGAACTGAGGAAACCTGAGGCAACGCCACAAGAGAAAATGTCCCCTTCTGGCCAGCAACCTGCATCAGGGCATAATTTTGGGCAGGCACCCTCAGTGGTGTAGAGCTGATGGGGGGGCCTGGATTCACCTGATTAGAGAGTGATGGCGAAGGGCCTGACAGCACTCTGGAAGTTAGGACTTTGGACACAATTTTCGGTGCAATGGTCCTAAACTGACTCTTGGTCTGCAAACCTTTTCCACTCTGTATTGTTCCAGAAGGCATGACTGATCACCTGCAATGACATTACAATGTAAAAAGTCACCTTGGTATAACTGTCCTGTTGTTGAGAGTGCAAGTAAGCATCTTATCAATTCCTCTGCCTTAAGGCTTTCCTAGACCACCCCTGCTCTTCTGAGCAAGCCCCCGCATTCTTCAGCATCCGGCCTAAAGGTCAACTCCTGCCCACCTTTCCCAACGATCAACTATTATTCTCCTCTCTGGGTCCACAGCCCCTATTACAACATTTGCCACTTTTCATAATAATCTATCTGTTTATGTGTCTCTATTACTAAACAGAGCTTTTTGAGAGCTGGGGCTCTGTCCTGCTCATCTTTACTCCACTGAGTCCATCCTGTCCATTAACCTAACTCTGATTCGTCTTTACAGGCCAGTGCAAACCCAGCTCCTGTCCTGATCTGAGCTGCAGTCCTGCTACTGGTCTTCCCTCTGGTCTGTTCTGCTGTGTATTTTACTTATTTTATATACATGTCTGGTTGTCCCTATAAAAGTTAAGCTTTGCGAGGGTAAAGCTGATATTTAATTCATCTTGATATTTTCCTCTGTATCTTCAGTATGAAACAAATGTTTCTTGTAGCACTCATTTTTTCACTCAATTTCAGGACACACCATTTGACCCCTTGGTAGTGTGGTTGTGTTGCACAGCGAAGGCGTTCAGACTGAATGCCAGCTTTGTTGCTGTTTCCCCGTGTGACTCGTGAATTCCTTCTCACACCTTCCAAACTGTTTACGTGTGCTTTTGCAATTAAATTGCCAGTATTAAAAAAGTTGATGCGACACCTTAAAAATGTTGAGGGAAAAGAAAACGATACAAAGTGATAGGTAAAGAGATAGGACAACATAAAAAACACACAAAATCACACAAAAGCACCTCCTAGGGCCCTGACAGAGTAGCACCCACACTCCCTGGCTTTATTATGATTAGAGACCAATTTTACAGCTACTCTAAGAAAACAATTCCAGAAACATTTTGATGCACTGCTTCTAAGTATTATATTACCTATTTTATTCCTGAAGCCTCGAGGTAGTAAGGCCTGGCTGCAGAGAAGTTTCCCATTTCTAAGTACCTCACTTTAGGCACATTTCACTCCAACTCACTGGGTACCTACATTATTCTAGTGGTTGGCTATTAAAGGCCCATAATCCCCTTTCTAAAACCTCTGGAGCATAACATGTTTTGAAGTTTATACTTTCACATTTAAAAAAATAGTAGAATGCATAAACACATTGTACCCTAACAGGAATAAGAAATGTATTCTGACCAACTTATTTTAGAAAGTAATCAGTGTTTGGGGAAGACAGAGTAGGTTAAAACATGTTTCAAATGGCAGTTCTCATTAGAATAAGAAGGAAAATCACTAGTGCTATGGTCTGGAAAACCGACACAGAAGAATTATATAATCTGTTGTTTTCCTATTTAGCTTTGCTACCACAAAGTTCATGGGTAAAGTGCTTGGTCAAGACCACTTGGCAATAGTCACCTAAATGGAGGTGCTACATTTGCTCCTTCTTCCTCTATAGGTTATTTATTTTGTAAATTTATTTTCATAGCCTTTAAAGTTAAATGTCTTTCATTTTAAGCTTATCTCATCTTTTTGGAAGAAGTACTGAAGTTGTAAATAAATATATTAAATTTGAATTGTGAGGCTTTGCAGAAAGCTTTGAATTATTGATAGCTTTTGGTTAAATAACTGCATTAACAAATGATAATGGTCTACAGAACAGATCCAGGGTGAGGAAGGAAGAGAAAACATTGGGTCACTTATATCTAGTTTATACTCTTTTTTTTTTTAAAAAAATCCTCACCCCAGGAAATGTTTCTTCATTGATTCAAGAAAGGGAGAGAGAGCAATATCAGTCCGTTGCCTCACCCACACACCACGACCAGATAGCGAACCTACAATCTGGTAATGTGCCCTGACCAGGAATCACACCCGCAACCCTTCAGTGCACAGGACGATAGTCTAACCACCACGCACACACCGGCCAGGGCTCTAGTTCATACTCTTAATTGATTGAGCACAAAATATTTACAGCAAGAAGAGCTGGAAGAAAGGCTACTTTGTCCTCAGTCATAAATCCTCTTGAAATAATATGTGACGCCCTAACCGGTTTGGCTCAGTATATAGAGCGTCAGCCTGCGGACTGAAGAGTTCCAGGTTCGATTCCGGTCAAGGACATGTACCTTGGTTGCGGGCACATCCCCAGTAGGGAGTGTGCAGGAGGCAGCTGATGGATGTTTCTCTCTCATCGATGTTTCTAACTCTCTATCCCTCTCCCTTCCTCTCTGTAAAAAAAAAATCAATAAAATATATTTGAAAAAAAAGAAAAGAAATAATATGTGACAATAATACATCAAAGCATAAGCGATATCACCTCACTTGACTGCTCAAGTTACCTGCCATTTAAAGAAGTGGATACTGGGGTAGACAAGTTTACCAGCTGGCTTCATGATCAGTGACCATAAGCTGATCACAAGAAATCTGTGGGGTAAAAAGATAAGGGTCTATTGGGTAAATTTAACTTACTCAAGTTTACCTGGAACTGTAGGAAGCACATACAAGGGTGAGGGTCTCCATGAGTGTGCTGAGTCTCATTTCCCAGAATCATTAGGATGAAGTGCTAGGGAGTGAAACTGATGCATTAGAAGACATGCAAGGCAAGAGAAGGAGGACAAAGCCACAAAAACAGAAGAAAAACAAATGGAAAACCCTTAGGAGTTAGTTAAATGTCTAGCAAAGGGTACTAACAGAATGATCATCCAACCATACAGTGTAATACCATGCAGCAGGAAAAAGAAAATGAGTTAGACTGATATGGACTATACTCTAAGATGTGAGATTTATAGTATGCTATAGTTTGAATTTAAAAATATAGTGAGATACACACAAATATATTCCTGTATATGCACAGGATATTTCTGAAAAGAAACAAAATAAACTAATATTATGGTGGCCTTTGAGGTTGGGGCTGTAGGGAGCTAAGAGGTAAGGATGAGGCAGGTGCTTATTTTCCTTGAGTGCTCTCTATGCCTGGCATACAGAAGGTGCTTAAATATTTGTTGAATGAATGAAAGGAAAATGAAAGTTTCCCTATTTGAATCTGTTTTTCAAAAGGGTATCTTTTAGGACAGTACTTTTCAACTAGTGTGCCACAAGAATTTTTCAAACATGCAACAATACCTGCCTATTTAGTCTGGGGCATTAACCTCTTTTCCCCTAGATTGTCAAATAAAAAAAAATGACAACAGACAACACAAAATAGCCATCTAGTGTGAATGAATAAAAATTATACCTACTTTGCCAAAACCGGTTTGGCTTGGTGGATAGAGCGTTGGCCTGCGGACTGAAGGGTCCCAGGTTCGATTCCAGTCAAGGGCATATACCTTGGTTGCGGGCACATCCCCAGTAGGAGGTGTGCAGGAGGCAGCTGGTCAATGTTTCTCTCTCATCGATGTTTCTAACTCTCTATCCCTCTCCCCTCCTCTCTGTAAAAAATCAATAAAAATATAAAATAAAATAAAAATTATACCTATATTTTGTCAGATTGGTAAAAAAATACATTCAGAATTTTAGTATTTCGTTTGTGTGTGCCATGAGATGAAAAAGGTTGAAAAATCACTGTTGTAGGATATTCATATGGGTAAGTGTGTGTATGAATAAATGACTGTCTAGATTACATACAAGAGTAGCTCATGTTTTTTTTTTCCTTGTCTGCTTAATCATAAGAATTGCTAGTGATAAGAAAACTGATCTAACATCTGACAGTGCATAATTACCCCCAAAAGGTAAGCACTTCCAAGGACAATTAGAGCTGTTCCTCCAAACATTTGGTTCTTTAGGATAAAACAAAGCAATTTTCAATAAAAGTCAGTTACACTACAATACTACAGACTGTTTTTATTTTTTTATTTTTAAAGTAGTTTGAACAGGAGTTTTTAGAGAAGTTGAAAGTAGCTGTAAGTTTTTAAAACTCTAAAATTCCAAGATTCCATGACTGCAGGCAGTCTTTCTTTGCAATGTAGCTACAAGAGTGGTTTATTCCATTACCCACTTTCAAGACCTTTCACAGATGGTGACCAAAATACCCTCACCTGTTACCTACTAATTACAGATCTCATCGAGCTGTGCTCTAAATAACGAGAGGTAGAAATTCCCACTGACATTCATAATTTCTGGAAATCTGCAAAATTACCCATAACACAGTTTAAGAGACTCACAGGACTCTCGGGCTCTAAACATGGACTTTTATTAACTGAAAACATAAAAGGCTCACTCAGTAAAATTAATTTTGCACAATTTTACAACATGAATCCTTAATATTAGGATTCTAAATGTAAGCTGTTTTATAATATGTTAAGCATATTAAAAATAACTATTTTGAAAAGTGACATTTACAGAAACTGACCTAACTGTGGATTTAAAAGTCAACTAATAGATATTGAGTCCTTATTATGGTCTAGAACAGGGGTGGGCAAACTTTTTGACTTGAGGGCCACAATGGGTTCTTAAACTGGACCGGAGGGCCAGAACAAAAGCATGGATGGAGTGTTTGTGTGAACTAATATAAATTCAAAGTAAACATCATTACATAAAAGGATACGGTCTTTTTTTTCTTTTAGTTTTATTCATTTCAAACGGGCCGGATCCGGCCCGCAGGCTGTAGTTTGCCCACAGCTGGTCTAGAATCTGTGCTAGGTCTTTTAATTGATCCCTCAAGTAAACCTTGCAAATAAATATTATTGTTCCCCTTATATAGATTAAGAAAAATAAGTCTTGAGGAAGTTAAATAATGTGCCAAAGTTCACACAACCAGATCTGTCCATTCCAATTTGAAAGCAATAACCTTCCTCCCCTTCATTCTCCCCTTAAAAGGAGAAAAATTACATAGAAGTTGCCTTAATTAAATCCAAAATATAACATTATCTCTGAACATTTAGGAAAAATTTTTTTTTGATATAAAAATGGCTTGTCAAATCCCAAAACTTCAATCACT